AGGCATGATACGTTTTGGGAAGCGTGGAAAGCTAAACCCAAGGTACATTGGACCGTTCGAAATCCTTGCTAGGATCGGTCCCGTGGCATACAAACTTCAGTTACCCCGAGAGCTCAGCAACATCCATCCTGTTTTCCACGTATCGAACCTAAAGAAGTGTCTGTCCGATGAGACACTTGTGATTCCTCTAGACGAGATTGAAATCAACGAGAACATCAACTTCGTGGAAGAACCTGTCGAAATCATGGATCGGGAAGTCAAACGAACGAAACAAAGTCGCATCCCGATAGTGAAGGTTCGTTGGAATGCCAAGCGGGGACCTGAATTCACTTGGGAGCGCGAAGATCAAATGAAACAGAAATATCCGCATCTCTTTCTTAATCCATGATTTGTATCCAATGTTCGAATTTCGGGACGAAATTCCCTCTAACGGGGGGATGATGTGACAACCCGAAACTTTTCCCGTTTCCGTTTCGTGATTTCCGTTAATAAAAAAAAATCGAATTTGTTAGCTTTTCCGTCAAACTTTTTGGTTTAGAAAATAATCTAGTTATATTTACGAGTTCGAACCAAAAATCGCACAGAAACCCGAATATCTCGAAAAATCAAGCATTTGCGGTCTAAATGAGATTACGACCGTAAACGTGTTTACAGCCGTAAACTCGTTTACGACCGTAAACCTGTTTACGGTCAGTGAAGAGTGGACCCCCCATCTCACCCCTATAAATACGATGCCTCCACCTTCATTAGAACATTTCTGGCCAAAAACTCTCTCCTTATCTCTCTAAGAATCTTAAACCGTAAACACTCAAAACGCCTTCAAACTTCGGAATTCATCGAGAAACCACGTTTGGGTCGCTTTGTAACGTCTCAGGGCACTCATCTCTTCGAAATCAGCATCCAGCTCTAGTGTTCTTGAGTTTACGGTCAGCCTTAAGAAACCGTAAACTCTGTTCTTGAGTTTACGGTCAGCCTTCAGAAACCGTAAACTCTGTTCTTGAGTTTACGGTCCAAGCCTTCAGAAACCGTAAACTCTGTTCTTGAGTTTACGGTCCGAGCCTTCAAGAACCGTAAACTCTGTTCTTGAGTTTACGGTCCGAGCCTTCAAGAACCGTAAACTCTGTTCTTGAGTTTACGGCCGTAAACTCGCCGAGCCTTCAGGAACCGTAAACCCTTCTTCGACCGTAAACACCTTTTAAGTGGTGTTTTTGACTGAAAACTCACCTTCTTCGATTCGACCAAGTCCCGGTAACATTCCTCAACCAAATTCAAGTGTTCCTCTAACACGTTATCTAACGAAATCGCTAATTTAGATACATATATGTATTTATTTGATAATAGGATTTCGTTAAGTGTCGTGCAACAACTCGAGGATCTTCATTTTCAGTCAACGATTTCACGCAACAACTGTGAGTTCATACCCCTACATTTTCCATATTTTTTAATGTTTTCAGGGGGGGAATACAAGCTAAACATAAATGTTTTCAAAACTCATGCAATTCTCATACTTTAACCCTTTTGTACTGTGTTGAGCATAAGGGACGTTTTCACTAAAATTGCATAGTTTTCCGGATTCGCTATTCACTACATTATACATGCAAACTATAATCGGTATAGTTTGGGATTTTTCTAAAACATATCAAGTATAGAAACTTTCACTACTAAACATATGTGCTGAAACAGAAACCGTTTACAGTTTACATCACTACTTTATCATGGTATTCATAACTGAAACTATCACTATATACGGTATACATACGGATTTTCACTACGGTAGAACGCTACTAAACTACATGTAAACTAGATTGTACGATACTGTGAGGCGCTACTTCACTACTGTACCCTTAGGTGTACAGGGATAAATCCTACCACTGTATAACCAGAGTCTCCTGGAGGGAGAGCGTGAGATTTGTGAATAGATCTATTCGGGACTGACAATCCCACATCTGGACTGCTAGCTACAGTTGGGCGGGCACGCCTGAGATGTACAAATGTCATTTAACTCGACGCTTGAAGAACGTTGGAAAGGTCTCTAGTCATATCAAGCATGGTTATACGACTCACATTATGTATAAATCACCTTTAGTTTACAATCTGACACTCTTCAACGGTTTTATTTATATTAAATAGAACTAACACACACTACGTATACTGGCTGAAGTCAGGGTTTTCAAACAGAACCGATTATGCATTGGTTTCACACACAAATACCTATACTTCATGATTAGCTCTAGCTAGTCACAGGAGGTAGTATTTTCGCATATCACTACTGTTTTCAGTAACGAACATTCATGGTTTTATACAGAATCGATAACGCTACTTACTCACTAAAGAAAATATCGTATTTTCTTGGAAACATACAAGACATTCATGGTTCATTACGAGACTTATAACACCACGTTTTCATTAAAGAAAATATCGGATTTTCTTGAAACTTTACAACTTTTGACTAGCTCACCAACAAGTTTTCATTACAAATTACCGCTTATGAACTCACCAGCTTTATGCTAATATTTCAAACTGCTTGTATTCTCAGGAAATCAGTAGGCAGGTTCTTGCTGGATTTTGAGGAACTGAAGCATTAAGAGTTTTTTTTTAAGTTTTTACCATACAAAGCTATTGGCTGTAATTCAAACAAGTTTCAGAACTGATGTAAACATTTTTATTTTAGTATGCACTGTACTGGTTGTGTTGCTATGATTGCTATTATTCATTGGTTGTGATGCTACACATGACGTCCTCCGCCCCGGAACGTTTCCGCCATCGGTTTCAGGGTGTGACACAACATGTTGTGGACATTAACCAGATGACATGCACATGTAGGAAGTGGGAGTTGACAGGAATCCCTTGCAGGCATGCCATAGCCACTTGGAGTGAGATGACAGACAATGGGGAAATGGTAGGGGAGCTGTACACTTGGGTACACAAATTTTATTTACTGGATACTTGGAAGGTTGTGTATGACTTTAAAGTTGAACCTATAAAAGGTAGGGCAATGTGGCCTAAAAGTGATTGTCCCACTAGAATTATCCCACCTCCATACCACAAAATGCCTGGCAGGCCAAAGAAGAAAAGAAGACAGTCCATGGAGGAGAGAATGAGCCAAAAGGAAAAGTCTAGTCAAATTGAAAGTGTGATAGCAAGTCAAAGTCAAACTCAGGATCCAAAGAAGTGGAGAAGCTTAGTAGGAAATTTGGGATGTCACTTGTGGTAAATGCAAACAAAAAGGACACAACAAAAGGACATGTAAAGGTCAACTAGAGGGTGGAGGAGCTAATGAGGGTCATGGTCAAGAGTAGTTTGTATGGTCAAGTGTAATGTTAAGTTGTTAAATCATCTTTTGGTCTAATTTGTTTAAGAAACTGGCATATGTTGGTTGTTTTAACAGTTATTAGTATGTTAAGTTATTTTGCAATTCCAAAACTCATGTGGTTGCTTCTTTTTTGTTACACTTGGATATTGTAATGACAATTGCTTTTGGTTATGTGCAATGGTATTGTAATTTGCATTGACTTATTGGGATTATATCTTATGATTCAATAGCACTTAGTAAGTTCCAAATGGTATTGTACTTTTCTTAATACCAGTTCCTTGTTGTATTACCATTATAGTCTCCATAATAACAACAATTAAATAAGATAATATTCCATACATTATAATTCGAGGTACAAGTTCATGAAATGACCATTATAGTATACAAAGGCCTATTCATCAAAACAATAAGATCCCAAAAAAAACCTTAAAAAGCACCATAGGTAAACTTAACCCTAATCCCTAATTCCACATCAAGAAAACAAGAAAAAAAATCCAACTGCAACACAAGTAGAACTTCAATTTACAAACTTCATCTTCTAATTCTTTCACTGTCATCTTCAGGTAAAACCTCAAATTCTGAATTTCATCTTCTAACTCTTTCACTGAAAGCTTCAAATTGTTCATGCTCTTCAGTAGACCAGGAATGATAGCCTTAGCACGATCACACATTGGAGGATCAAACCATCCAAGGAATCGACATTTTGAGTCCTTTCAAAGATGAAGCACACAAAATTAGGGCAACAATAAGGTGTTTGATTGCAAAAATTAGAACGCTACTTTACCGGTAGAGGGCATGCGTAGAACCGTCGGCCTGGATTGAGTGGAGTCCACGATGTGCGCAACACAGAATTGTTGCCACAAAAGTATATGATCGTTACCATTTTCGCAGAGAGAGCCGTTGGGGAAGATGGGTTTAAGTCGAGGTTAAATAGAGAAATTAGATTGCAATTTTGGTCCCATAAATGAAAGGACAAAAATACCCTCGCGTGCAAGGCACGTGGGGAAGAAAACGGAATGCCTCTAACGGCAGTTAGAGGCAGGGACCAAATCCGCAGCTCAAACATCAAATAAGGACGTTTTTTGCTAGCAAACTTTTTTTTGGACCTTACCCACAGAAATCGGCAAACCACAGGGACCATATTTGCAATTTTGTCTTTCTTTTAAAAGAGTAGGGTTTTTTTGGACTGTATAGATCCCAGTCCAAAGTAATCGAGACCACTGGTCCTACAATAGTCCTACCTCCTGGTTCCAAGACCGGGCACATAGATATGGGCTAATGGCCCAATCACAGTCCCTAATATGTATGGATATGGGCTTCAAAACGAATATAATAAGCCCTCTAGTAATTTTAGTTTGATTCCAATCAAATATTTGTAGGTTGAACTTAGAACGCCTTTTTTGTTATTATTAATAGTATCCGATTTTAACCCGACCCGATTAAATAAACAAGGTTGTGTCCCTAACAAAATCAAATCCAAGAATCGCTATTGGTCAAGCAAGCCTATTTTTTATTGTTTCGTGGTTTCGACACCAGTCAATTTCATCTTTGACATCTGAGTCCAATATACAATGAGCCTCAGCAAAGGGCACCCAACACACAACCTATCAAATCAAAGCAACAACCAACAACATGAATCTACAATCCTACACACCACTTATATTTTATGTACATATAAGATATAATTGGCATGTATTAAAAGCAAAGTCAACTTGTTTTATAGTGTGACATAATAGGAAGCAACAAACCCACAACCAATTTTTCTATATGATGATGTGATTTATTCCGCACTAGTTTTTGATTTTCACACACCACACCACACCACACCAAAGGCCAGAATGAGTTCCTTAACCCATAGCATATTTCTGGGTCCAAGATCGGGCAGCGGTCTCATACCTGTCCCTTTGGTTCTTGTACATATGAGCAATCTCTGGCACTAATGGATCATCAGGGTTCGGGTCTGTCAACAATGAGCAAATCGACAGCAAAACCTACACAATTCCCATTCTTATCACATCATTCTCACATCTTTTTTTAAAAAAATTTAAAATAAGACAAATTACATTAAAAGTTAGATATGACATGCGTTAACGTGGTTGTGATAGAATTTTTTGTCAAAATTTAGTGGCTTATTTTTTTACTTAAGCGACTGAGAAATTTTTTTATTGAGACCACTTTAACGGGCTTTTAGCACAGGAAATACAAAAAAAAATAAACTACCTTTGAAATGGTGAGTGCAGGACTCCACTGTTCCTTGAGAATATCAAGGCAGATGCTACCATTACTGTTTATATTTGGATGGAACACCTTGGTTCTGAAGGAAACCTGCAACCGATATGTAAAAAAAGTTGATTAAATTTCTTGTAAAAATTAAACGACATAATTTAGAGATTTGAGTACCTTTGGTGGCTTGAAAGGGTAATCAGGAGGGAAATTAATGGACACAAGAAATACTCCACCAGAAAATGGGCTTTCCGATGGGCCCATTATGGTTGCTTGCCAATGGAACATGTCTTCCCCAACTGGGCCTGAAAGAAAATTAAATTACAAAGTACAAACAACTACAAATACAAAAGCTTCATATGCAAGAAAAATAAGGAAAAAATGGGAACTAACCAGCACTGCAAGAAGCAGGTGGATCTTTTTGCAAGTCCTTCAACTCTTTTTGAATCCGCTTCGAAGCCATCTCAAGATTTTGATTGCTATCAAGTCTGCAGAAACAATTATTTAACTTAAAGCTCATGAACATTTGTAACATATATCAGTTTTATAACTTGCAGCTGATTCTAGTTTCCTAATTAAGATCTATAATTCTCATCAACTTTATCACAAAAATTACCCGGATTAACTTCCATAGTAGAACAATAAACACCAAAAATTCACCAGAAAAGGAAAATTTTGAAGATACTCAATGTAAAATTATGAACAAGTATCATCAGGATCTCAATCGAGGCACAAAAATTACTTAAAATCTAGTAACAACTGAACATGTACAAACATGCAAATTGGAGAACAAACGCTACAAACACACGATACATTATTGAACAAATCGATACAAAATTATCGCACAGTAAAGAAGCGTACAATAACAACCAAACTCTTAAACCCTATGAAATCGAAACGAGCCAACTTATCAAGAAATCGATCACTAAAATTAAATATAACTCATAAAATCGATTAAACAATCGGAAGAATTCGAATCTAATTACCTGAATTGGATCGAAAGAGAGGTAGGGTTTGAATTGTTGATTCTGTTACACTATTTTGCAGATTACGATAGTCGTATGAAGGAAGCGGCCATAGAAAGTCGGTGTATATTGTTGGAAAGCAGGTTTCGTCACTTCGGGACGCGTGTCAGAAGAAATCCTTAGCTGTCAATAATCTACGACGTGATTCAAACAAAAATATTTTTTAAAACCCTCTCTCTCACACTTAAAAATATTTTTGAAGTTTTTAAATTGAAAAAAAGTATTGAATTTTTTTTTTGTATCTCCTTCCCCTGTTGTTTTTGCCACGGGGCTTGTACTCATTCTCTCAAAGTGTATGCATAAATCGTCCATGTCGATACATTTTCCACTTCTTAACTTATTGCAACAAACATTTAAGTTAATACCATTAAATCAGGAGAATATCATGTTGTTTTTAAACATTTAAGAAGATTGTTCACAAGAACCAATGTTTTAAAAACCGGTTTTTTAGTTGAACTGGTATGGTAACCGGTTTCCGGTTCAACCGGTTCGACCACTGAGTAAACCGGTTTCTATAATTTTTTTTTTTTTGTATTTTCCTACACATACATAGATACAAAAATCAAGAATTTAATGTCCACAAGTTCAAACATTAAAATACACATGAAATAAGTTGTAGATCAATCTAAATACAATAAAATTACTCATAATCATAAGTTTTACATCAATCAACGTGCATTAAAAAGAAAATAAAGTCCTACATGAATATAAACGCATCAAAAATTTGCATAACATTTATCATGTGTTTTTATTCAGAAAAATTTTAATTAATATGAAAAAACTACCAAAGTTTATTTTGCAAAAGGTTTCGATTCCATGTGTTTTTATTCAAATTAACCGGTTCAACCAATTTAATTGAACCGGTTCAACCAGTTTTTTGTAAAAACCGGCCGGTTCGATCCGGATTAGAAATAGACATAAAACCGGTGATAATTAAACCGCTTCCTTCCCCAATTCCCGGTCCAACCGGTTCGACCGGCCGGTTCAAACCGGCTTTTAAAACATTGACAAGAACCTTCAATCTCGCCTATGTTTCCTCCTCTCCATCTTCAATTCATATTCAAAATTCACACCAAATCTCCTAAAATAGGCAATATATAATTTCAAGAAAAATCAGTATATTAATTTATTTTTATCTCATCGGTTTCACTCTATAACCCTAGCAAGACGACTAAGACAGAGAAGCTGAATCAGAGATGGAGATGGAGTTTACTGCATCATTGCTTGGTCTAGAGGACCTCATATAAAGATCCGATTGAGGAATCTATTTCAGGAGTTTTAAGTTCACAAAAGAAAGGGAATAATACAATAAGTTCGTTCTTGGTTGGTGTTTGATACTTTTCTTTTCATAGCTACTCTGTAGTTTTCATAGCTACTCTGTAGTTTCACATCTCTCAAATTGATTTCTGCCTTTCAATGTTTTAAAATTCTCGCCATTATTTCATACTTAAATCACATGCACTTACCATCATGGATTAAAGATCAAGCACCTTCTCGAAGCAGCGTCCAGATGTTTGTTCCATTTTACCCTCATATGTTTTCTTCAATATTTGTAAGTTCTTATTTCAACACTTACGATAGTCATGGTAAGTATTTAAAAGAAACATGGTCACTCAGAAACTGACAAATGTAACCATTCTTTAAACTCTTTCTTATTTATTTCTATATATCAATAGGTGAATAAGATTCTTGATGTCGACTAGCGTTTTTTATTTTGGACGATGGTGATACAAAGGTGATTGATGTTGTTTATTGGCCAAAATATGGAACTTGGAAAAACAAAAACCATGAAAAAGGCTTGCATTGAACTCATTTGGAAGCCAAAAACCGGGTAGCGTGGTAAGTTTTTTCTTAATAATGCATATGTAATGTGTATTATGTCTTTTGCATTTCTTCCATGGTGTTATTTTTTCGAATAAAAACTTACTATTATTTGAATACTAAAGAAATACTAATAAACTGCAAAAGCATGACAAAATTTAGGGAACCAGACAGAGAGTATAAGACGATAATTATGAAGACATTACAATGTGTCAACCTTTTGAAAGTTCATCCTAATACAACTTTATTTGTCACTCAGGTTGTCAGTGATGATGGTGTTATATTCTTTATTCATGTTGCCTATCTTAGTAATATTTTTCTGATATTATCTTTCATATAACCCAATTTACTGATGATTTTATTGAAGTTTCATTGCTTTATTCCAACTTTTTTGTGATATTTCTTAACAAAATTTCATTTAGTTTCATCCATGTGCAATAAATGTACCTTGTGCTGCTCTTGTACATGCTGAGACTCCTACAAAGCATTTTCTGTTGAGCTAAACTTATGACTAAATCATATAAACTTCTTTTTTTTTAATATTATGTAAAATTTCAATTGATTTTTATTTGTTTTTTTAGTTGCATTACGTTGTTGTATGGCTGAAAATTTCAATTTCAATTGTAATTACGTTTTGGTTTTTTAGGATACCGTTTCTATCTCCCATCAAATTATTTCATGTTTTCAATTCATTCGATTTCATCAAATTGTTTCAAAGTAAAAGAATTGCAAAATATCACCAACACTTTGATGAACAATCACATAATATCTATAACTAATCGAATAAAAAGTATTGTCTAATTCTTCAATTCAATGTATGAAAATATGAATAAAGTAATGTATATTACAATTTGGCTTGAATTTGGAAAAATAATTGTGTTCCACTTTTGGATGGGAAGATAACATAAAAGGTATGGCTTTCTTTGTTACGGAATAGTCGATTTAACATTCTTTTTATTATTATTCTACTATTTATAGTATCTATAATTTATAAATTTAGATTAATACCGCAAGAACACTGTTTCTATAAATAAGGCGGCGTAATGGTAGAGCAACGCAACAAGCTTTGAAAGTTTTAAAAGGTTTAATTTATTTTTTCAAGAATTGGGGTCATTTGACTTTCAAACATGAACTAATTTTTTTTAATTTTTTTTTCAAGAATCGGGTTTGTTCGACTTCCAAGGGCATTATGGATTGGTCAGTGACACATAAGGATGATTTGGTAAAAAAAACAAGCCAATTTTGTAAATCCTCTTATGAAGTTTCCATGTAATATTATTAGTTCCACATTTTACTTGTTTGCCCTTTGATATGCAATTTATGAAGTTTGATACCTCCTATGTGGACTTAAGCCAGGCAGAATACAAAATCTTCACTATAAAATATAAACGTTGAGATTATGTGGTGAAATTCAATTTAAATATAAAGTTATAAATTGTTTTATTTCTCTTGAGTGATGTAAATTCCAATAAGTAAAAATAACAAAATTTATAAAAATTGTACTTAAAATTTCAAAATAAACTTATAAAATTAAGTGACAAACTGACAATGGATTAGTATGATGTTTTTATGTAAATACAAATCAAATAAAAGTATATTGCTATTGATTGCATCTCACTTGGCAAACTTGTGAAAACAAACAATCAAATATAACATTGTACTTTTAGACATAATCCTTTTATAACATTGTACTTTCATAAATAATTCTTTCATAACAATGTACTTTCAAAATCAATCCTTTTATAACATTGTACTTATTAAGATCATATTGGAAAATATCGTTTTAGAATTCCTTAATGTTTATTGAGCATTAAACATTGAAGATAGATTCAAACGAATGTTTAATTACTTCATGAGGTCAGATTGAGGTGTCCTATATCATTGTGGGTAGAATTCCTTTAGGGTCAAGCAATAATGTTGTATTTAGGCAACACACATATTTGGTCCACTACTGGGGTTCAAAAAGGAGACCCCGTGGCACCACTTCTCTTTGCCCTTGTATTGCACCCGCTCTTGCATAATATTAGAGACAATTGCAAGCTTCTTCTTCATGCATGGTACCTTGATGATACTTATTGGAGATTTGAAGGAGGTGGCCAAAGCGTTGGACATCATTACGGTGATTGGTCCAAAATTGGGCCTTCAGCTGAATATCAAGAAAATCGAGCTATTTTGGCCACCTTTGGGGGTGAAACTTCTTGGGGGAGATGTTAGTAGAGATGCTAGTTTCATTAGCAGCTTAGCCATAAAGAGAGCCGAAAACGTTGTGAATTTGATGTGCCTTGTTTCACAATTGTCTGACCCCCAGAGTGAGCTCTTTCTGCTTTGGTCTTGTATGGGTATTGCTAAGATTTTCTCTTTGGGCTTAGGACGTGCCATTGTGCCAACCTGTTCACATGGAGGAGGCGACAATATTCTTTGACAATGGGCTGCACGAGGCGATTGAGGACATTGTGGTTGTGGTGGCCCTTTCTTTGGCTACATACAATGGCGAATTGCTTCCTTACCATCGGGTTTGGTGGTTTGGGTTTATACTCGGCAGTAGAGGCTATCTCATATGCTTTTGTTGCCTCAAGGGCCCAATCTTGGGTATTGCAAGACCACATCTTATGGGATAGCGGCATATATGATATGGAGTCTGATTATGATTGTGCCTTGGCTTCTCTTCGTAATAAGCTTCCAGATATTGACCTTAGCAGTTTTACTACTAAAGACACCCCCCCTAAACCCCAGTCATAAAACCATTTAATTAGAACTAGACTCTTCATTTTGTAACCTTTGCCAACTTTTATGAGTTTTATGATTCTTAAATGTGACTTTTCATATAACTTGAGGACAAGTTACAAAAACACACTTTGGAATCAACTCTTAGATTAAAATGGATTGAAAACAACTATTTCACACAACTTTTCTATTAATCTAAGAACCTCATAAGAACAAGATAATTCAAATCATCAATCTTCAAGAAATTAGCATGAACATACAAACTAATATAAATCTTGAAATTATGACAATTATCTTAGAAATTGGATTAGCATGAACATTACCACATCAAAAACAAGTTTATAAGTCCAAAAACATCTTAGGGTAATGTTCCTAGTCCAATTCCAGCCAAAACAATCGAATATATACATCCAACTCGATTTTTCAGCTACTTTTGCAAGTATAACAAGAAAACAAACCTGGCTCTGATACCACTGTTGGGTTATGAGCATTCTAACACTCCTAAGTGTACATGCAACCCTAAATACCTTGGATCTATGTTTTCTCTATTATACATACAATTATGAACATCCAAGGTATTATCCTAATCTAGCATACAAAATAATAAATATAACAAGATAGAATACATACCTCTTTGATGTAGAATGTCTTCATGAAGCTTGAGTGCCTAGTGCCCCAAGTGTGACACCTCAAATGGTTCACACAACACCAAATACACTTGGAATAACTTGAGAGAAACTTGAACACTCCTTGAAATCGTCTAGCCCTCACACTCACACATTAGTGCACGATTTCTTGAGCCATGGGATTCTTTTATATGGTGGCTATTAGGGTTACACCATGTAACTCATAACTTTACCCATTCCTTATGCTCCATGGATTTTAACCTCCATGGAGTATCCATGGGTCACCCCATGGACTTAGTCCAACATAAGGAATCTTGGATCACAAGCCCACATATATAAGAATGAATGATTTACACAATCAACCCATATATTTAATTAGTCTCCTTTTGATCACTTAATTAATTCCAAATTAATTCTTGATCAATACTAATTAAATAACCTTATTAATATATTAGAACTTATAATATATTAACCAACCTTAAGTGTTATTTCTCTCATTATAGTCTATCCAAATGCATGATGCCATGCAACCCAAATGGACCATGTCGGGTCGGGTCAGTCTTACCAATTATAGTTATGGACTTAGACATTAATCCAACAGTCTCCCACTTGGATAAGTCTAAAACTATTATTGCGTATGACTTCAGGAACCGATCAGCAATCGTAGCTCTCAAAAGCTTCTGTCGAACTCTGACCTTTGTCAATGACTTGTCCATTAGATAAGGGATCATATATTCCTCCATTCTAGATATCATATGGACTGAGACATGGATTATCAATCATTCTCTCTGTCCATTTGTTGTTTCCCGATTTCCGATTCATGATGACTGACTGATTGAACAAATCAAATCAGTCCTGGCTTGGCCAAGCACTCACATGTATCATCTTTAAATCATCGAGGGGCCCACAGATATCGCTTTTATCCCGAAGGTAAAAGGAATGGATAAATTCGACTCATATGGCTTGTTCTACTACTTGTTGAATCATACACAAAGGCACGTTTTATAACATCGAGTTACCAATGCATTTTCGTGCAATCAATGTATAACCAACTCATAGTAACAACTCATATCTCTAGGTTTGAAGAATATAAGATATTATCGTCTCATGATCACTCGTGATAAAATCCATGAAGTGATTAAATGAGCGCGGGTTGAATCCAATACTCAGAACTTATGAGCACTCATGAGTGTTGTAGCACCACTTGTCCACCAACTTGGACCTCTACAAACCAACCCATGACAGTCTTGATTCATATCTACTTCCAACATATGACCGACTGTGGATGGTTTGAATAACTTAATCATTCAGGAAGAGCGACTTAGTTATTCTGGAAGTCAAAACATGCAAAGTGAAACACAAGAATAAATGAATCAAATATGGTATCAAACCCTATGAATATAAATAAACACTTTTATTTATCACCATACTGATTACTCATTATTCATTGTTTCGGTTTTATCAACTTTATACTTGAATTTAAAACAATAGTTGTCCCATGCTCCAAGCATATACACTATGTTTTCTAAACACTAGTCATGCCATACACCAAGTATGCATACTATGTTTGTCTATGATCTTTACTTTGTAAAATAGATCAATTGAACATCACTCCAATGATCCTCTTTTCACAGTCCCAAATCCTTACTGCAAATGCAAGAATTCCAAATTCATGTCATTTACTGAAATCTGTTAGATTCTAAACTTATATGCATTGATCCTCTTAATGATTATGCACGAAGTCAGAAAGACTTGACAACGATCATTACAGAGCATTCCAAAGGAGATCAGCTCCTTGGAAACATCCTTCTTTCATTAAGTTTCCTAATCTTACACAGATTGAATAATTTCTAACTTTGAAACATTTCCATATTCCATTTTGACTATCACTTCTGAACAAGAGTTGCCTCCTTACAGATTATGTCAATATGGTCCTTCCAGAATTAACATTATACTTCCAACTGTCCTTGAGCAACCAATCTTTGGTAAACGTTAGATTGTCCTCGACAATTGCTTAATCATTTTAGTCATATCCAATTCTAGACCTTTTCCCTTCATAATGCCCCAGGCATATGGAAAATTTTAGAAAGGATGAATATAGCACATGTAATCGATCCTATATCCGAAGCATATGGCAC